ATTATCAGCAATGCATTATTAACAGCAATATATTTTGAAGAAAAAAATATTACCAGGAATACATTTTTGAAGAAAAAATATTACCAGCAGTACATTTTTATAAGTAATTATTACCATTTCTTGAAAAATATTATCAGCAATACATTATTACCAGCAAGAAAAAATATTACCATCAATACATTTTTCAGAAAGAATATTACCAACAATACATTTTTGAAGAAAAATATTACGAGCAAACCATTTATGTAAATAATTATTACCAGCAGTACATTATTACAGGAATACATTTTGAAGATAAAAATATTACCAGCAACAAGTTGTTGAAAATAAGTATCACTAGCTATACATTTTTTAAATAATTATTGCCAGCAATACATCTTTTCAAAAATATTATCAACAATACATTATTACCAGAAATACATTTTGAAGAAAAAATATTACCGGCAATAATTTTTGAAGAAAAAATATTACCAGAAATACATTTTTTGAAGAAAAAATATTACCAGCAGTACATTTTTGTAAATGATTATTACCAGCAATATATTATTACCAGCAATACATTTCTTAAAAAGTATTATCAGCAATACATTATTACCAACAAGAAAAAAATATTACCATCAATACATTTTTGAAGAAAAATATTACAAGCAATGCATTTTTGTAAATAATTATTGCCAGCAATACATTTTTGAAGAAAAAATATTACCGGCAATACATTTTTGAAGAAAAAATATTAATCGCAATATATTTATGTATAAAGCACATTATTACCGGAAATACATTTTTGTACAAAAAATATTACTAGCAATACATTTTTTTAAGAAAAAATATTACCAGCAATACATTTTTGGAAAAAAAGTATCACCAGCTATAGATTTTTGTAAATAATTAGACAGCAATACATAATTTCCAGCAATACATTTTGAAGAAAAAATATTATCAGCAATACATTTTTTAAGAAAACATATTACCAGCAATACATTTTGTAAATATTTTTTACCAGCAATACCTTATTACCATCAATTCATTTTTTTTAAATATTATCAGCAAACATTATTACCAGCAATACATTTTTGGAAAAAAATTATTACCAGCTATACACTTTTGAAGAAAAATATTACTGGCAATACATTTTCGGAAAAAATATTACCAGCAATACAAAACTTGTCGGCATTAAATAACCCATTGAGGTTGATATGCTGTAAATGAACAAATCAAACCAAACCAAACCAAACCAAACCTATTTACATTGTTCAGACCGTTCTTTTTATCCTTGACCGGCCTTCTACAGGTGATATACATTAGAATTTCGAACCGAAACCATTATTTCGGCCACCAGGTTAGATTGTTCCAATTCGAAATTCCATTCATTTTCTGGATATCTCTGTTTCAGTTATTTTCCTTTAATAAATCAACTCTCCAAGTTTTTTGTTCACGTTGACCAGTGGATAAATTCGTTGGTTGAAGTAATCCATTGACTTGACCTAAAGAGATGTGAGTTCGATATCTGGCCACAGCAGGGGTGCACAAAAACTTTAAGGCTTGAGTTATTAAAGGAAATTAACTGAACTGAGATATTAAGAACAGGAAGCTATCAACACAATATCACCTGAGTAACTTATATTGTTAAGATTAGACCCAACGATAATAAATCCTAGCAGTGTTTCCAGTTCCCTTAGGAGAGCCTCGATGTAGAGACTGAATAAATCTAATGAGAAAACACATTCCTGTCTTATGCCTCATGTCTCTTCTTTCGTCTTTGCAGAATTAAATTAGATAAAGAATCGGCGCATTATTTGCCATTTCATCCAAAGAATCAACTAAACCAAGTGAGAATTGAATAAAATTACAATAGAATCTGTATTCGATTTAAATACAATTACATGATACAAAACATCACTAGACTAAGAAAAAGAAAGACGATGTTGTATGAAACATTGCATTACATTAAAATTTGATTCTTTCGTTTAAGCGCCTTCAAATTATTAAATTAAGTGCTTTTTTGCATGATCATTAATTCTTCCACATTTTTGAGTCGGCATTAAGTTATAAGAAGCATGAAAGTGACGCTTTTTCTCTTCTTTATCAGTACATTAATTGCAACATCTGTTGGTCAGTAATTTCAAGCACTAAACTTATAAACCATTAAAATAATACGCAGATAGTGTGTAGTTCATTCGAAAATTGGATTACACCATCTTTACAGACAGAAAGATTGAAGCAAATAGGCCGGATATAATTCCCGAAAACCGAAAAGAAAAAACTTGCCTACTAATTTATGCGGCTTGTAACATAACAAACAAGAAATTTGAAAAAGTGTCAATACCAGTTATAGTAGGGGCGCTTGGAATGATAAAAAAGGAACACAACAGTACATTGAAAACATCCCTAGAAATCCAAGGTTAAGAAAAATACAAAACAATACTTGATAAGTACGACTCACATACTAACAAGAATTTTGTCCATGTAACGTTAATGATGTTATGGGAGTTAGAAAAACAAATTATAAAATGTAGCCATAACAGCACACCACTAACTGCCTTAGTTCTTTCCGCAGATTTTTTAGGTAATGTGACCATAGCAGAAATCAAAATATAATAATAATAATAATAATAATAATAATAATAATAATACCATTTAAGTAAATAATTTTGTAGTCAGATTATGTAGAAGCGATTATCTGAGAAAAATAATTATAGCCTAATATAGTAAAATGTGTGGATAAAATTTGTTTAAGGGAGGGTGATTTTCTGCAAGTATTATCTTTCTCAAGATGTCATGGTAATTCAAAGATAATAAATAAAAGGAATCTGTGGAAAGTCATTATTTTATACATCCTAAAGTGGCATATACTGTTTTCTTTTCTGGTACCGAGGTTTGATTTGATGCCATTTTTCCTGGTGACAGTATAATTGAACATAAACTATTTTTAGAAAGATTAGAAACGTGAAAGAAGTTTAATCGAAGCAGTGTGTTCTTTAAATTTGCCCTGCCGACTTTGATGCATATTTCCGGAGAACCTGTAAATCAATTCCCTCACTCGATATAAACTAAAATCTACATTCAAACAACAAAGTTCAAGGGAGTAAAACATTTATTAGATTACAAATATAGTGTAATTGATTACACAAGTATTATCGTTCAACTATCTTTATTTTCAATTCCATTGTATTTAAGATGAAATAAACAAAATAATTCTGTTAACGTTAAATTTTATTTGCGTTTGTTTCTTCTCGTTGCCCTGTGCAAGTCGTGTTGAGCATTAATGACCATTTTAGGAAAACAAACAAAATTGCTCTGAATTTTCTATTTTGTCTCAAATCTCAGGGAAAACAATTCATCGTAAGATCACAAAACTTAATGATAGCATCATTTAAAAAGCCTAAATTTAATACTTTAGCAACCATCACGATTCGTATAGCTTTGGGAACAATCACGATTCTTAACATTTAATCGTTTGGTAAACCTCACGATTCTTAATGGCTTTGGAACCATGACCTTTCTTAATCCTCAATAGGTTCTTACAGCTTTGAAATCACACAAGATTATTAATACTTAATGGTTTAGAAACCCTCTGGAAGCTTAATACTTTGAAAACATTGATGATGATTTTTTTGATCGCTTAGAGATCCTTATGCTTCTTAATGCAGTTTCCAAAGCACCATCCTGAATTCTTTGCAATTCTCAATGCTGTATCGGTTGTAAATGTTCATCATTCTTAAAACTTTAAGGAACCACGCGTTATTTTAGTTCTTAATCGCTTGGGAACAATCAAAATTGTTGATGACTTGGAAACCACCACGATTCTTAATTCTCATTGTTTGGAGATCATGATTCTTAAGGCTTTAGAAACACAATTGATTCTAAATTCATAATCATATGAACACCACCATCATCACTTTTCGTCATTGGAATCCATCTCAATTCTTAACTTTTAAACTCACCTAAAACCTAATCATTTGGAAATTCTTAGTTCTTTAATCGACTTAGAATTTTCACGATTTTGAATGCAATGGAAACCCTGACGATTTTCACTAATAGAAATCTCATAATTTTTAATGCTTTAGAATTTATTTCTTAATCGTTTTATTATAATGCTTAATCCTTTGAGAACCCTCAGGATTCTTAATTCTTACCTTCTGGTAATTATCATTACGAAAAAACATAGTATTTATTAAATAATAATAGAATTTAGGTAGAATAATACATATGATAATGTATTACTTAAAACTTTTACAAATACTTTCGTCGTAAATGTTCTGATGAGCTTTCCGCTGTGATACCTAGACTTTATGAATTTCAGTGCAGTACTAGATTGACATCAAATACTCGTCATTTTAATGTTGAAATGGCTAGATATAACCGTAAGTTCTATGCTAACAGTTTCTTCTATCGGACTTCTCGCTTGTGGAATTCTCTTCAGAATTCTTGCTTTACAGTCAACTTCAATCTTCAAAAATGTAAATGTAATGTCAAACGTTATCTTCTGTCTTCATAACTCTTCTTTTATTGTCTTCTCTCCTTTATAGTAATTTTTCTCATATTCTCTAACACTTAGTAAACCCCTTGCATCCTAGTGACTTTATTGCCTTACTTGGACTGAAAAATTGAACATAACACATAATAAATTCAAAATATAAAGACATTTTTGTGGTGTGTTGTATATAAGTTATAAATATTATGCTATCAGTATTGTAAATTTTGCCTATCAGTATTGTAAATTTTGCCTAAATTCTATTATTATTATTATTATTTTATTTCCTTTGATTTCTGGTGTCTACACATTTCTTTCTGGGTCCCGCTCAGAGACCCAAGGTTAGAAATGGCATCATGACATTTTCCACTGACCAATTAAAAACACAGACATATTTTGCATAGATAAAGCCCTTCGTAAAGTGTGGGCTGTACTCCTGAGAACATTTTTTTATATTTCTTTAAGGCATAGATAGATAGATACGAACAACTGATATAAATAGATAAATACATAGATATTAACAAACTGAGATAGATAGATAGATAGATAGATAGATAGATAGATAGATAGATAGATAGATAGATAGATAGATAGATAGATATTAACAAACTCAGGAGTGATTGACTGATTGATTTATACGGCTTATAAATCCTTTTCAGGATATTTAAAGTCACAAAAAATTTTAAATTGTAAGATCGTTTTAGGGTATAATAAGGATTTACATAAAAAAATAATAATTAGCCTATAGCTGGGGGTGCAGGTGTTGTATTCATAACAAACCCAACTGGAATTGGATGTCTGCTCAGAAACTTCCTATTCCAATCCGTTATCCCACACACCACCCTTAAAATCAATTATATCAAACTTAATGAATGTCGTTTTATCCTCATTCCTCATGTTAGTGAGCCATGTAATAGTGTCAGACTAATCCCCTTCCAAAGGTTATTACTGGTTGGGATTAATAAATTGTCGCTTATTTTTTTATTGTATTTTGTGAGATAAAGCCTAGTTCTGTTTTTATTTGATTTATTATTCTAGATTGTGTATTGTTGGTAAAGTTCTGTTAGAATAAAGATAAAGCGACATTCATTAAATTTGATATAATTGACTTCTATTCCTCTATCACTAGGAACCTCCTGGTCAGTAGTATGAACTTTGCAAAGAACTATATAGAAATAACGGATGATGAAACTAATATCGTCTTAACGGCAAGAAAGTACTACTAATTACAGCTGGTCAAAGTGCCACAATGACGAATTCGATGTCCCCATGGGAGCATATGATTCAGCCCAAGTTGCAAACCTAGTATGTTTTTACATTTTAGAAGTGCTTAGTCGAATCGTAAAACCGGAACTAATAGGGCTATATTGGGATGACGGACTCATCCTCATCCCTAATAATAATGGTCTACTAACAGCGGAATTACAAAAGAAAATTATCAGAGCCTTAGAATTCTTATAATCTAAGATCGAGATTTCCTCTAACCTTAAAATAGTTGACTACCTTAGATACCACCCTCAACCTTAATGATAAAACTTTAAACCTTACCTAAAGAGAATGAAATCCGCATCTATATTAATATCGGTTCTAACCACCCCAATGCAATCCTAAGACAAATACCCACTACAGTCTGCACGAAGATTAGTAAACTATCGACCAATGAAAAAATCTTTAATAAGAATAAAGAACTATACAAAAAGGCCTTCCAAAATTTGGTTTTATAAGTAAATTGTCTTACGCAACCACCATTAGTAATACCGATACACGAAATGTGAAATGTAGATTTAAAAATAGGAAAAGAAAAATCACTTGGTTCAACAATCCCACTTCTGCAAACTGTGAAGTATCAACATCTGACAGTACTTCCTAAACTTAATTACTAAACACTTCAACAAAAAAGCCCTCTAAATAAGATACTCAACAGGAAATCAGTCAAAATTAGCTACTCCTGCACTGATAATATGTATCAAAAATATTATTTCTCATAACAATTACATTTTAAATAAATTCCATGGGGGGAAAACAAATCTAACATGGAACCCCCTGCAATTGTAGAATTAAGGAAAACTACCTAGTAGTGGGCAAGTGCAGTTCCACTAGGGTAGTATACCAGGCAACCATTAGCCCTAAAGAAAATATGAGAAATTATAATATTTATATCGTTATTTCTGCAGGGGAATTTACAAAGAGAATCAATAAACATAGACATTCATTCACGAACCCAAAATTAAAACACCAAACAGCCCATTTCGAAGAAATTTTGGGAATGGAAGGAAAATAGTCTGAATCCTCAAATTAATTGGAAAATTCTAGGTTTCGCGAACACCCCCCCACTAATAGTTTTAGGGATAGCTGCAAGCTATTTTTAGAAGAAAAAATCAGGATAATAAAATATAAAGATCAATGCAGACTATTAAATGAACGGAGAGAACTAATCACGAAATGTAGACATAGAAATAAATTCCAAATTACACGTGCATATATGGGGAATGTATGTGTACGTATAGTGGCATATATGTATGGATATGTAAATATACATATATGTATGTATGAAGATATGTACGCATATAAGTGTGTTGGACAGCATGATTTATTTCATTGCGTGCACTGGTATTACCCACAATTTATAAATCTATAACTCAACTAATTTACATTAATCTTAATGGGCTTAAGTTTAAAACCCTCATAGCTTATTAATATTATTAATAATATTGGACACCTATAGCAAAAAAAAACAAACTATTTACTGTGAATGGTAGAAAAAGATACTTCTGGCCACCACATAGTAAGAATTGATATTAAACTACAAAGAAGTCTTGGCCATAAATAAACTCCAACTCTAGGCCGCTTCTTCCGAGGATACAATACCTTAATCCCCTCACCAATCGCTAATAGAAACACACTCTCATTAACAAGGTGTCTACAAGAGGATGAATGAAACTGAAAATAAAATTAAAATAATGTTTCGAGACAGACAATTAGAGACTGATGATAGCCGTATACAGAACGGCTCGAAATTGTCTATATCTATGTCGAGGTAACTTTTTTTTCCTGTAAAAAATACATATGCTACGTTAAAATCAAATCATCTAGCTCTCTGTGGATCATTTTTAATAATCAATATTACTAGGATGCACCCGGATTATATACCAACGGATCGATTACCTGTATTAAATATTTTCTTCTGTGTTTGTTTGGGGTGACACTCTCATACACATAGACACACATATATACAGATGTACGCATTTTAGTTCACACAAACACATCTATATAAACAATCCGAGACTAGGCGCAGATACACATTCATGCGTTCGGGCATACATACATACGCAATTCTCATTCTATTTTGGTGTCGAGACCTTAGCTTTTATTATATGTAGCGATGTTCCTTTCAACAAAGAGCAAGTAGGTGTGTTTTTGATGATTTTCAGATATACTGCCTGCGCCGTCAGAGAAACTTGCACTTTCTCATACAACGGAATATATATATATATATATATATATATATATATAATTATTTTAAAAAAAAATTTATAACGTAGCCATTTTGCTTCAACACCCCGGGTGTCTTATCAAGTGATGATGAAGAATGTAAAATAAATGGTTTTAAAAGTTTCAAATTAATTAACAATCCTTCGCAAGGGGAAAACGCTGTTACGAAAGCTAGATGGACCAATCAAAATACAAATATAGGAAAATTCAAAAAGCTTGACAACGAAGTCATGTTATAATAGCTATTCAAATCTTTAAAATACGGATAATATTAAAAAAAGAATTTATTCTAACCAACAATTATTAAATTATATGATAAAATTGGATATTAAAATTAAAAACTGCCAATTTTAAAATCCAAATTTAAACACTGTTAAGTTTATAAATTATAAAATTACTGAGGAGAAAAGAAGTAAATACATATGTTATTCAATTTATTTCTTCGTTAAAATTACGTTAGAACAGACGCAACTTCATCCGGTCATATATATATATATATATATATATATAATGGATCCTTCAGGACTTTATCGGAGTAAATTTGTTATGTTGGTAAGACTACACATACGCACGAACGAGGGATTTGTTAGAATTTATTTTATATATAACCGAATTCATTTAGAGTAATTTTCCTTCACTTACTCCATATTTCTCTTTGAAGAATATGAAAAATTGAGAGCTGATCGGCGTTTTGAACTTACTAGGCCTTATCAGATCAAAATCGAAACAATATGTATTTGTCTTCCATTTCTTATATTCATATTGTCTATACCTTGTATCATATGTGTTTAAGCATGAAACAGACTGTCACCTTTGAGTGCTGACTTCAATATCCAATTTAAATATATATAAATGTTATATACCGTACCTAGGAGAACTAATGTGTATGCCCCAATCTTAAAAAATACGTGGACACTATTGTAAGTGGGGGTAATATACTGCCTAAGAAATCCACCACTAGTAGTGGTTTACCTACTTCACGCCGCTGGCGACTATTATGTCTTGTTGATTTTATAAAGATTACCATTTCATTTCCAACCTTCGCTTTGGTTATTCCTCATTCAGTAACCCTGTTACAGCATATATATATATATATATATATATATATATATATATATATATATATATATATATATATATGTATATGAAGAAAAATATACTGAAAAAACAAACAAAAAATCCTAATATGCGATTATGCTGTTTTAATGTTTAATGTCAACGTCGGACGTTTCGGTCTAATAGACCATCTTTTCAAATCTTTCGTATCCGAGACAATTATTACTGAGAGCTAAACATAAAGCGTTGAAAATTCATTCATCAGCGCAAAATGACACCTCGAAGGCCACTACAACTACATCAATGAAAGGCACACTTTCAGCTGCCCCTGATAATAATTCTTTTGGTCGCATCTTTCTACCAAATAACCATTTGACCGAACGTATCTCCAATAATTTAAATGCGTTAAAAATTAAAACTACAATATTACCTACTAGAACTATCCATAGTTTATTAAATAGCACCAGCAAACAAGATATTACATCCGATGCTTGCATCTACCAAATCCCATGCAACAACTTTGACTTAAAATATGTGGGTGAAACATGTAGGTCCGTAAAATCTCGTGTTTTCGAACATAAACGAGATATTCGCCTCGGAAATTTAAAGAATGCTTTAGTTGTACACACAACTAAAGCAGATCATAATTTCGATTTTGATTCCGTGAAGATTTTAAAATATTTTCATAATAAAAATCTTAGGCGGATTTATGAAGCAAGCATAATATCTATCTCACGCACGGTGAACACTAGACCTGGCTTCTTTAATATTTCCCCTTTTCTAGCAAGATTAATGCTCGACAAACTTACATATAAGTTTTAGATCAAAATAAAATTCTTTTCGTTTTTCATTCAAAATACTCAAATTTTAGGAATACGTTTTCACAATGTCGCCCACGTGAAGACGACGTGATCATATTTAAACTGAACGCTGATCATATAAAAGATTTCAGTTATCTGTTTGGATTGGTATTGCTTTTATGTCCATCGACTTTTTCATGTTGAATTGTATATGGTCTATGTTAATTATGTTTTATGAATATGTCCTGAAGATGGTCTATTAGACCGAAACGTCCGACGTTGACATTAAACATTAAAACAGCATAATCGCATATTAGGATAATAATACTGTCGGATCTATATCCATATATTTGCTTATATATATATATATATATATATATATATATATATATATATATATAATTTATTGGAAAACGTTATAAATTCACTACAAAAATAGACATTTTGTTTCGACACTTCTCGTGTCTTATCAAGTTGAGTTCAACAAGGAATCCCACTTTTATAGAAGTTTCATGACAAGGTAAGCCCTTTATTTATTTATTTATTTATTTATTTATTTATTTTTTTTGTGTTCCTATAATATTCTTCTTTTCTGGACATAAATTTTGTAGCAATTATACGAATGGCATGCATGTCCGAACGCTTTTCGTTATACTTTTAGCCATTATCAAGGATGATGTCATTTTCACTTTTAACTGAACGTATGGATTTTTTATGTATGTATCTAGAGTTAAATGAATGTTTAATTTTCCAAACACGGTCAGCAGATTTCGATCGTGTTCATAGTTGATGTTACTTTGCCAGAAACGCAGTAATTTGTCAGTCGTTTTTAATGAAGCAATATATATATATATATATATATATATATATATATATATATATATATATATATATATATGTGAAGATTGAGCGGGTAATGAGAAGAAAAATAGATATTTCAATTGTGAAACGTGTTCTTCTTATTGGTGTCTATTATCGAAAAATAACATCTACTTTTTCGAAAAAATTATTTTCATTGAAAGAAAACTTAAATTGCAAATTGAAATACTTTCATCTCGTTTTTAATAACTTCCCTAGCAATACAATTATCCTCGCCAAATATTAATATTTTTTCAACATTTTCTCTTTTTTTGTAACTAACCCTTTTCATATTTTCCTTGTTATTGTGCATCATGCGCTCAGTGAAATCAAATTGAATATCAACATTGTTATAGTCGTCAATATTTAAATTGATTTAATTCATGCCTTCTAAAATACATTTCACGGACCGGGGTGGCTGTGTGGGTGGCGAGATGCATAACAGACGATGAATCCGGTGAAAATGGCGACACAAATCACTGACAATGATTCCATCAGATTTGGGAGAAATGGCGACGTGCGTTTTTAATGCAAATTGTTCAATTACCAAACGTGTTTTCGATTAAAATGTTTTTATCCTGTTTTGACTTTCGGTAGCGGTAATTATTCTGAAAGATGAGTGGCAAAAATTTCAGAAAAAAAAACACAATGGAAATGTTTAATGAGTCGTCAACATGAAAATTGACGTCATGGACTTCAAAGAAAATGTTCCGCGAAAATTCTGTAATTAAAAATAAATAATATGAAGGAATAGCGATTTTATCCACTGCCAATATATATATATATATATATATATATATATATATATATATATATATATATATATAAGTGTGTGTGTGTCTACAAGTTGTCTTCTCTCTCTCTCAATCTCTACAATATATATGTGTGTATGTGTCTAAGTGTGTGTTTGTCTACTATACAAGTTGGAATCTCTCTCTATATATCTACTATATATATATATATATATATATATATATATATATATATATATATATATATATATATATATATAAATCTTTATAATTTCCGGATAAGTTGTTTTATTTTATCGGTAAATTCATATGAACTTTTATTTTATATTATTTTTTCAAGTACTTTCGAATGTTTCTCCAATCGTTTTCAAGGATTTTTCTATGTAGAATGACGCTAATGGTTTTTAATTCGGGCGTCCTCACGTTTGATGGAATTTTAACGTATGTGCGTGTTTGTTTTAATTTATTTTCTCTTGTGATAAGAGAAAAAAATCAGCCAGCACTGAATAATAAACAAAATGTACACACATTAAAAAAAATTCTGTTTGACCGTTTATATGACGGTACCCTAAGTGACTTGAATTTAATTCCATCAAAAATTGATAGATAAAACATATCCATATCATTTAACAAATCACACACAAACACACAAACACACACACACGCACACACACACACACACACACATATATATATATATATATATATATATCTTATATCTTATCTTTTTATTTCCCCTTGTTTACTTTTCATTTTTTCTCTTTTCCCTTTTCCCATATCATTTCCTTTGAGTTGACCGATTAAATAGGTCAATGTCTTATCCTTACCCCCGACTTCCTCAATATTAAGTATTATAATAAAAAGAAATATAAAAATAAATTTTAAAACTCTCCCTTCCCTCTCTAAACTCGACCATGTCTCTCACACCATTCCTCACCACCTTCTTTGTCAACTTATATAAGCTTAATAATGCCCGTCAAAAATGTAAATTTTAAATTCATTTTTCGTTTTACTTTTTGAATGTGAATTCTCTGGTGAAATAAATTATTACAAATGGAGCCTTAAAGTGGTCTGTTTTTCTTTAAATTATATACATACATACACACACACACACACACATATATATATATATATATATATATATATATATATATATATATATATATAAGTGTATGTATATGATAGTATAAGGAACAAACATGAAATGTGTATAAAAATGTGTATATTTTGCTTTTATTTAAGCTTCAAAAGAAATTAAATATCGTTCAAGAAGAGAACATCCTGTTATTTTATATTTTCCTCTTCTTTTTCATTTGGTTAACTACTTGTCAGGTAGCGTTCGTGTGTATAATTCATGTGAATTTGGGTATCATACTTCTAGTTTGCTTATGTGGGATTTCGTTAATAATATGTTTGTGTGTTTGGTTTTATTTTTTTTTCGTGTTGTTTTTCTTATTATTGGTTAAGTTGACCTCACGTGTATTTGTTTTGTCAGTTGGCATCCGTGTGTATAATCCTAGTGTGTTTGTTCATCATAATTCTAGCTGAACTCGGCGAGATTTGATTGATAACATGAGCTCCTCTCTGTTCGTGTGTGTTGGCATTTTTTCTGTCTGGTATTATCCATATGCTGATTGGGGATTATTTTGTATGGAAGCAGAAAAATTTATCATACACCGATTATGGTTGTTGGTAGATTGATCTTAAATTATTTGAGTATGGATTTTATAAATGTGGGTGTTTTGGCGTGTGTTTATTTATGAGAAAATATTTATCAGGATTCCTTCTCAGTATTTTGTAAGCAATAAATTATGTTCTTTTCTTAACAAAAAATATTTAATTTCTAATGAAGCTTAAATAAAAGTGGAATATTTTGAATTTATAAACGTTTTCAATTAGTTACTTATCCTAACATTCTGACGTTAAACTACACCCGCATCCTGAGTAAGACGTTAAACTACGTCCGTGTCCTGGGTAAGACGTTAAACTACATCCAGCAGCAAAGATCAGGAGGTTTTGAGGAGCGTGGAACCACCTCTTAATTGCTGGTGTTCCCAAGTCGACCCTGACCCAGGGTGGTAGCACCTTTTAGGGTCCCAGCTATGGGCTAATAGTTAACTATTACCAGCAATACTTTTTTGAAAAAATTATTTCCAGCAATACAATTTTGAGAGAAAAATATTACCAGAAACAGATTTTTGACAAAACAAAATATCAATAAAAATGTTATCAGCATTAAATAACCCATTGAAGTTAATATGCTGCAAAACAAAATAAACCAAACCAATCTAAACCAAAGAATACATATTCTATTCATATGAATCTATCCTAAAAATGTTGTCAGCATTAAATAAACCATTGAGGTTGAGATGCCGTAAAATAAAATAAACCAAACCAATCTAAACCAAAGAATACATATTCTATTCATACGAATCTATCCTAAAAATGTTGTCGGCATTAAATAAACCATTGAGGTTGAGATGCCGTAAAATAAAATAAACCAAACCAATCTAAACCAAAGAATACATATTCTATTCATACGAATCTATCCTAAAAATATTGTCGGCATTAAATAAACCATTGAGGTTGAGATGCCGTAAAATAAAATAAACCAAACCAATCTAAACCAAAGAATACATATTCTATTCATACGAATCTATCCTAAAAATGTTGTCGTCATTAAATAACCCATTGAGGTTGAGATGCCGTAAAATAAAATAAACCAAACCAATCTAAACCAAAGAATACATATTCTATTCATACGAATCTATCCTCAAAATG